GCTACTAACGCGGAACATGCTGTGATTTTCATCAATAATTGCAATTCTGACAGTCTTAATCTAATATATATATATATATATATATATATATATATATATATATATATATATATATATATATATATATATATATATTTATATTTATATTTAAATGTATATATCAAGCCAAATACGTATAAAGTTATATCAAAATTAAAAATAGCTACCTATAATTTGATATATAAAAATTATTGCAACACGAGTCTGCTGAAAGTACATAACGGTAAATAATACAACCTCCTTAACACAGATCACAGTACAATCGTACAATGACGTCACAAATGCGTCATGATACGCAAACAAAATATTACAAACATATTACCAAAATATGTACGTTAGGTAAAAATACTGTCAAATTTGTCAAGGATCAAATTTCATGGCAAACCCGTTGCTGGGATATGAATTGATGCTCGGAATGAAGAAAAGCCAGTAAAAACATAAACACATCACATCAAATCAACTCTTGTATAAAAATATCTTAAAACATTATACGGAATGATGAATAAAAAAAAAAAACCGGACGTTGTTGTGAGGGATTGTTTAAGAAAATCTTTCATTGAAACAGCGAAGCTTTGGTTTATGCTCACACATGTGTTCTCGTTCGTGCATTGACACACACAAAGCACAATAATATTCATATATTCAACACATTGTATGTACACACATACAATTTTATATATATAAATACATATCAATGTATGTATACGCACATCCATGTATAAATGTATTGTATATAGAGTACGCATACAAAAATATTTCAGAAGAACTATGCCCTCATTACATTAACACAAAGATAGCATTCAGTAACAAAATTTAAAAATGAAAAAAAAAACACTTAAGTTGTACGAGCGTTAAACAATACGTCGTTCCAGATCTAAAGGATGTGCTTGTTAGATATGAATTAAATTATATAAAATATAAAAAGTTTGCAATTCAGCGAAATATGAATAAGCGTAAAAATGATTAGTAATTAGTAAACAAAATATAAAAATGCTGAGTACATTAATGAAAATATCAATTGAAATGTTAGATTAGTAAAACGATTTTCAAAAAGGCAAAAACTTACCCGGATAGTGTTAAATGCAAGCGATGTTGAGAAGCATTGCGATAATTCGGATATTCAACTAAAAACAAAAGTTTCGAAGCTAACAATGATGATACGTGGTCGAATTCAAATAAACAACGACCAGTGTAATCCTCATCACTGAATAACAACTGAAAATTCTCGAGAGTACTTTAAAAATATTTAAAAAAAAAAACTATTTTGGGTCACCCATTCAAAAAACCTACTAAAAAACCTAAATTTAGTGGAAAAAATTCTTACGTAATCCCACAAACAAACTAAAATTTAAGATTTTGGATGAAATTTTTAAAAAATGATTCAAGCTAATAAATATTTCTTCTTCAATAAAATTTGTTGATCCGCTTGTAGTGCTCTGAACTCGTTCCTGGGCATCTTGAACAAACTTTCAAACTCCATATTAGACAGATACTCCTTTTTAAAAATGAGCATTTATGACTTGTGTTGAAACTTTCTACGCTTTATATTTTTAATATTGCAAACATTTCAAATAGTTGAATATTACAAATGCATTGAACTGCTGGTGTACAAGTTAACGAGAATGTGTATGCCGTACAATCAAACAAACGAGAATGGTAAGAAATTTGAAAAGCTTATGTTTTTTCGATTGATTTTCCTTTAATCTTTTATTAACGTCTAACCCCCAACTAATGCGATGTTTTAACATCACATAAATACTAATTCTCCAATCAATCAATCAATCAATCAATCAATCAATCAATCAATCAATCAATCAATCAATCAATCAATCAATCAATCAATCAATCAATCAATCAATCAATCAATCAATCAATCAATCAATCAATCAATCAATCAATCAATCAATCAATCAATCAATTAATCAATCAATCACCTTAATAATCAAATAATAGATCAATGTTAAATTGAAAGAACCTCCAAGCAATCCCTATCCAACTGTAGTTGGTTGCAGTTCAGTGCATCTTGCAATTCACTCAACGTATAGTCATATTCGTGTTGATGCTGCTGCCACTGCCAAACAACATTCAACCACTAAATAACAAATTAATAAACATAACCTAACGGTCATCGTGAAAATAGACACCACGTAAATAAGAAAGATATCAACCTCGAAATCAACCAAGTTTAGGAAACTTTCAAATTTGACAAAACAAAATTGCCAATTAGTCAAAAATTCATATTTGTAGAAATTTTTTCTCATTGATGTTTTCAGTTTTGAAAAGAAATAATGTAGTGAAATAAAATATCAGATAGGGTAAAAATGCTAAATAGACTGATGGCTAGCTAACACGTGTTTTATGACGTGGGTGTGGCTGTTGTTCATCTTGTTGCATGTACGATGACGTCACGTTCGTCAATGGGGAGTCGCAAGATGGTGACAAGGTGAATGACCTCATCTTAATGGACGACCGTTTCTGTAACACAGTCATTCGGTAGTTAGCATTGCAGTCAACAATTTAGAGACGAGGTATGTACTCACTTACCAGCCTAGCAAACAAAGCATGCAGATTATTAACTAACTTATCAAGCGAAACAAAAAAACCTGTCACCATTATGTTTATGAGTTCAACGTAATAGTGGTTTAAAATGAATTGTGAAATAACTTAACAGTCAGAAAACATGCTAATTAAATAAAAAGAATGCCTATAGATAAAAACTGTAACTTACTAAATAAATTTGAATAGACGGAGTTAATAAGTTACTTTGAGTCCAGTTATTGGGTCCCTGACCACACCATCCACTGCTTCATTCTCATTCGACGCTGAATACAACTTCCTCGCCACATCCACCACAGGAGTTGAATGCATTGGAAGGCTGTCCACGTTCGTCTAGGGTCAACGAGTTTTAACAATTAGGCTGCAGTCAACTTTATTTTCAAGTAATAGATTAGTTAGCTGAAAAATTCTGAAAAAAAAATTCAGTTAGCTGAGGAGAAAACAAAGCTCTTTTAAAACTGTACAGTCAGACATTATAAAATAAATAAAAAAGAAAATGATATACAGAATATATGTTAACTTAAATAAAAACCTTGTAATTGTCAGCAGGTGAAGATAGGACGGACTTGTATCTTAATGAATGACACCTCGGCAGTGCAACTAGACGAGGAAACGTTTGAGAATCTAATTAACAGTCTAAATAACATTAAAGGACTTGTGAACAATGAAAACTTGTGAACAACACATAAGGAAAGATCACCGCAGGCAGAGCAATAAAACACTAACGAAAAATCATGAATGATATGTCCAGAAGGATTATATTATGATAAAAATAATTATAAAAATGAGTAAATAATATAATTTTATAAATAAATATAATGTGCAAGCATCTGTTAGAAGAATAAATTGAAAACCGAGGTACCACACCATTCCTAAATATATGTCGCATCCTTCACGTTCTAATAAAGAATTTGATGCAAGAAGCTGCAAAGTTCTATAAATAAATAAATAATAGCAATAGAAAGCAATGAATGTTCTAACAGTTGGGATGATTCATCATGGACGATACACATCTCCTACCATCACTCATGGCAGCGAATCTTTGGAGAGTGCCTGTTGGTGCTGAGCATGGTGGTGGTGAGTTTAATGGTGGTGAGTTTGATAATGCTGAGTTTGATGGTGGTGGGTTTGATGATGTGTTGTTTGTACTATGTGCCGCATTTCATTTATAACTAAATTGTATAAGGTGTAATGTATCCTGTTTCACTCAGATAATTTCTCAAAAATTCAAATTATATATAGCAATAAACAACCAGAAACCTTAAATAACTGTCAATTTTTGATGTCCAAACAAACTTGAAATAACTACAACAGTAGTGTTGGAGCGTAATAAAACTACTCAACATCTATCAAAAACAAAAATTTTTAAAAACTAACAAGCAAGTCTTGGTCTCTGACATTTGAAGACGATGGGTAAACTTTTTTCAGCAGATGGATCACGTGACGTATCTCGCGGATCCACTTCAACCTCGACTGACCTTTGAAAAATTTGCATACAAAACATTCAACCAATCAAATGATTGCATACAAAACATTTGACTAATTGAATGACAGCATACAAAACATCAGAACAAATAATGATTACATACAATAAACCATCATCCAATCAAAAGATTAATTTTTGTAGTCCATCTATCCATTAAAAAAAAATTACAAACAATTTGTTAATCATCAACCAATCAACAGCCACATAGTTCTTCAAAACTCCTCCCACCTTTGTTTTTTAAGCTCTTTCAGGATAACAGCAGCCGCACCCGACTCCATGCTAGCTATCTTCTCAAGTTCACATATCTTTTTCTCAAGCTTAACAAAGGCCTGACTTTTTGAAGAATCATTTACATCAGAGCTGTTTTCCTGGCTGGAAGTTACTAGCAGATCTCTTTCAGATTTATTTCTCACTATTTACAAATATAGAAGACATAATCGTTGGTCAACAAAAATAACGTTTAAATAAATATTTTGTCGTAAACAAAAATTTGAAAATGTAGGATAACAAGAGATAATTAATTAAATTACCCAACTATCAATTATCCAAAATCATTTTCAAGATCTGATTTTGAATGTTGATAGACATTTCTTAACAATTGTGTATGCTTGTTAAAAAAAGAACCAATGAAACAGCAACCTAGGATTACATTTCAAAAATCCAACACACTCAAAGGAATAATCAATTAAAATTTCAAAGAGCGGATGATCAAATGAAAATGGTAGAATGAGAACTAGCAGCAAAGAACTAACGAAGTTCGGGGTAGGCAGCTGCTGTGAACGGTGGTGAGGGCCAATCAAGTCTTTCTATGGGTTTCAAGACTGCAACCAACCAATCAAAATGCGTAACACTTATTACATTATATTAAAACATTTATCTTCATCATTTTCATCATCAAATATTAATAGAGTAAAATAAATATTTTCAAACAGACAACATTTTTATATAAAAAAAAATTTACTGTGGTATATAAAATCTAGCTAAAAAAAACTTAAAAAATAAATTCTTCATGTTTTCATGTTAAGAACCAAATTTTTTTAATCCATTTTATTCACAAAAATAAAAGATAACAGTCACAAGCTACTGAGTCTTCAACCAGTTCAATTAACTCAATGCCAGTAACCATTATTTTTACTGTGAGTTCTATCCAGGCCACCATCGAGATGTGTAGCCGAATAAGTAGGAAGCGTTGATAGAGATCTCCCATTTAAAGTGACGGATGCAGCAGCATTCAAATTTCTCACCAATGCATCCAATCCTTGATTCATATGGTTTCCTACGTAGTTTTGTATCATTCTATATTTTTTACAAGCTCCAACGGTTATATAATATTAATTTCACAAGACGTTTGATCAAGTATCCATTATTATAAATAATAGAATTTAAAAACCAAACTAAAAAAAATATGAAAGATAATTTATAAACTACAGCAGACAAAAATGAAAATTAAGTTATAGGAAGATAATCACTTTTCAAAGTCAGTTTTAAATCTTCTTTAGGACTCTTAAAAGTGAATACGCTATCTGAAAAATAAATAAATTATTCAAACATAACTAAACATTCAACAAAAGCAACAAATGATTGACAAACTTGGCCTGTGGAAATGTTTGTTAGACTGGGACCTCGATGCAGATGGTCCAACTAACTGACCTTCCCTCCTTAAGATCGTATTTGTCCCGACCCTTTCCAGGTAGCTCATATTGTAGAACTGCTTATTGGGGATTCCAAATGTTGAGGAGTGCAGACTTTTATTGATGGATGAATCAAACTGTGAGTGTCCTGACCTCAGTGTGTCCTGTTCATCTGCTCATCATCAGTTAGGTGGTGTGTCATTTAACCAGTATGAATAACTTTTCAATCTTCCCAAAAAACTCATATACAGCCAATGCAAATATTTTCCACAGAGTAATAAGTACAAGACTTTTCTTTTTAAATGCGCATCTACACCAGGCTGAAAGAAACTTTTCATTATTGAAAAACAGAATTAGAAGTAAGAAATAAAACACCCTGATGTAAAACAGTTTTTGCTACATATATATATATTTTACCATATAGTAAAGTATAACATATGCGTGATCATAACGAATATTGTTTGCAATCATTTCTACTTTGTCAAGCCCATTTAATTTAGACAACATGAACAATGGAAGCCAAATCTCAATACAATTCACGTCATTCAACCACAAAACAAATTCTAAAACATCCCACTCTACAAGTTTCAACTTCCATTCAAATGGAACTGTAAAAGATCGTGAATATTTTTTCCAATGAAAGAGGAGCAAGTGAGTACTTACAAGGATATCCGCCTGACGTGTTGTGATGCATTGCAGAGATGGACGACTGATCAACTGAGAGATCTGAGGACAATAACAATTACAGTCAACAAAATTTATCATGGTTACATAAGTTTATAACAATAACATCAAAGTTGCCATCAGAAGCACAATCAATGCACATATACGCACACATAAATAAAAAAGTAATTAAATGATAGAAATAACCTACATGGAGATGGGCTGGTGGGATGATCAACAGTCGGATATTCTTCTTCCAACCTCGGTGAGACCACTGAACTTATCAAACTCTGGTTGGTTGCAGAATCGGCCACGTTAACTGGCGAGATCTTTGATTCGGTATCTTTCTTCAAGATCTTTTCATATTTCGTCCCATTGTTCTCCTTTGAAACTGCATCGACACTACCAACGGGATAATTATTTCCTTCTTTAGCATCCCCTGCACCTTTTGAAACAGCAGATTCTTCCATATTTCTGTTAAAACACTCACCGCAAAAAATTTTCTCTCCTTTGAAAGTAGCTGTTTCCCCAGATTTAAACTGTTTACTTCATGAAAGAAAATACACCGAAAGTTAGAATCAAAGAACTTTTAACGATGAAATAATATAAATGAGAATCAGTTTAACTTGCAAGCACAGCATTTGAGACAGCCAGCATGGTAGTTTCTACCTTTGGCAACAATGACATCATTGAGGATGACCTTTGAACAAGCACAGCACCACTTTCCAAACAACTTGTGGTAATCACTTTCACAAAAATTTTGATTCTCATTTCGGTAGAAACGATCAAGTGGAAGTCGCTTGTGACAGCCTGCAACAGTGCAACACACAAGCAACAGTTGAAGCTTATGCAGAGCAACAAACATTTTTAAAACCTAACAAACTACAGCCACCCTTTTATGCATAAATCTAATTCTTTGCATATGTCAATGATATAAAAGTTTTCAACTTATTCCAACAATAACCTATATTAATTCTGTTAATATATATTATTATTATTATTATTATTATTAGATTATTTATATATAAAGCGCCATTTATTGTTCTCAAAGGCGCTAACAATGTAAAAGTTGATTAAATGTTTCACTTCGATCAAATCATATCATGAAAAGTTTGTCTGAAAAGATGGTTCTTTAGCTTTCTTCGAAATTCAGTAATTGACAACCCACGATTTTGCAAGTCAACTGGCAAACTGTTCCAAATCTTTGGTCCCATAACAGCGAAATCTCTGCAACCAACAGCAAGCTGAGTTTGTCGAATTGTTAACAAACCTAAATCGTTTGACCGTAACTTCTGACACTGTAACGGTGCATTTCTTGGAACAATTCGATCCATTAAATATTTCGGCGCTAATCCATTAATGCTTTTATACACCAGTAGGGCAATTTTGAAGACAATTCTTTGTTGAACGGGCAACCAATGAAGATTGAAGAAAATAGGAGTAACATGATCAAAATATGAACCACCAGTTAACAACTTGGCAGCCCGATTTTGAATTAATTGTAACTGTGCAACATACTTTTTGGGTAAACCGTAGAATAAACTGTTGCAATAATCGATCCTCGAGTGAATGAACGAGTGAATTAAACATTGCAATTTATGCATATTTAGAGATCCTTTGATGAGTCTCAATTTTCTCAATTGGTAAGTACATTCTTTCAACAACAACTTTATGTGCAATTGCATTGTCATGTTTGTATCAAAAATAAATCCAAGATATATATATATATATATATATATATATATATATATATATATATATATATATATCCTTTGTCAATGGAATCCTTATAAATATTGTGCAAACAAACAAATAATATGAAACACTTAATGCAGTACTTTCAGGTTCTCTCTTAATTCTCTGTGTTAACTTTTGACATCAAATTATCATCTTGATGAACATTTCCCTAAACAGTCCTCACTAAATATGATCCTCTACTCACTGTAGCAATTAGAAACATAAAGTTCAACATCATGAAATGATAGTGCTCTACCAACACACACAGCGCTTCTTTAAGAAAATCTTTTGCACCCACCTTCAACTGCTATTTCACTAAATTATGCAACAACATCATAGATTTTAATAAATTCAATGAAAATTCAATTTATTAATCAACAGAAATTGAAAACAATTTTTATATAAGAATAAAACATTACACTAGATAAGAGTCAAATATTTTTTCTTTAAATTATAAATCTGAAATAGAACAATTATGGAATAAATATTATGAACAAACAGAAAACAATACAAACTGCTGCATATGAAGCATTCAGGATGGTAATGTTTGTCATGAGCTCTCACAGCCTGTTTCTTACATTTCTTTTTACAAGCTTCACATTTCAACTTTACTGAGCAATAAATAGTAAGTAGCATTGCAAATAAATAACTTCATACAATTCAGTGAAAAAATTGAATCAACTTTATGCAGTTTAGATAAATGATTTAAAATCAATATCTTTCCATCCATTAAATGTTTAATAAAGGTTAAAGGTAAAAATTACTCTCTTTCTTTTGCGTTTGCTTCAGAGGTTTCAAAGACAAACACATGAATAAGATATATGTATGAATACATGAATGTATATGAATAAGCGTGAAAACCATGCATCATACACATTGCACATGATAAACGGGAATCTCTTTGTATTCGAACCCAGTCATTGCAATAGCAAGACCAGGCGCCTTTAGCCATTGAGCCATCACGCCGCCTTCATGATTAATAACTGTAATTATTTACAAGACACCCTATCATTTGTGTTTAATCATACTTTCCAAAGTTTGAAAATGCCACAGGTGCAAAATTAAATATATGTGAATTAAAAAACCATATAATATGATATGATATCATATCATATTTTAAACTTTAGTAAATGACTGCCATTGAACTTGATCACTGCAAGCCACACTGGACCAGCCACTTAGGGCTGCCTAAAAGCAGTTTAGAACGATGAACCAAAAATCTAACATTTGTTAAATAAATCACTTCAAGATGAAATATTTAAATAAAGAAATTAATAAAAAGTTGAATAAAACTAAAATATAAATGTACTGTTCAAAAAAAAATTAAAAAAATGGCTGTTTTCAAAACAAAAACATGTGGTGAATGTCATGTTATGGAGAGCCTATAGTATAAGATTGTAATGTAAGTGAATAAATATTTCTTCATTTCTTCCAATAACAGTGCTCAACCCAACTCATTCAAAATTAATTCATTTAAGTCATTGATTTGTTAAATGAAATTCATTAATTTGTTAAATCATTAATGAAGACTGATTAAGAAATAATTCAATGCAATCTGCAGCTTATTTTCATAACAATAATTTTTTTCATAGATAATATCTATTTCAGTTATTATAATGCTACTATTATTTTAATTAAATATTTACATATTTTAAATTTAAAATGAAATAATTTTAATTAAACCAAGACCACACTAGGATTAGTTCCATAGAAGTTTAAAAAAATTTGTACTAGTAAGCTTACAAAATACTGACCATTAAAAAATTATTATAAATTACAAATAACAGAGAGTTAGACTAGCAAAAGCTAATTATAAATAATTATATATAACTATAACTTATAAAATATAATAATAATTTATATATTATATTGAAATTATATATTATATATATAACATACAATTTCATTTTTTTAACTCAACATATAATAATCATAATGATAATGCACTTATAAAAAAGTAATATATAATAAACAAATTATTATCTTATTTATATTTTATAATAATTATTTTTAAGAAGTTAATTGTACTGAGCTTGTAATCTGTATTTATTTATAAGTATTATTATTAATTATTTAATAATAATAATTTATTATAGTATAAAAATAAAAATGAAAAATAAATCTGGCCTAACCAATGAATATCATAACAAACATAACATGAAATAACCAGTTAGAAAATTAAAATTGTCACAGAAAATTTTTTAAATGGAAAATAAATAAAAGTTGTTTAAAAAAATACCCATGGTCTTCAGGTGTTAGTAAAATGAAGTTATAAAAAAATGATCTTTCAGAAATTAAAATAGAATGTTTTTCATTTGAAAACAAAACTACGCTCTTTTACTACAAGTAAAACTTTTAAAGGATGTGCAAGTCAAACTTTTTAAAAAGGAATTAAACCATTTTCTATATTCTTATTATTCCATACATATTATGATTAATATTATAATTTTTTAGTGTTTATTATTGCAGCTCTGACATACGCAGAACCACTTACAATGTTTTATTATCTGTACATCTTTTATGTTCTTAATATCTTCAACCATTGATTTGGAGCAGCCATTATAATCTTATATCTAATATATAACCTTCTTCAAATACTTAGAATACTCCGGCGCACATTTTCAGTGAGTCTGCTCATTCATTCATCGAACGAATACTATTCTTTTCTTTTTCTCCTACGCACTGCTCTTCCTGGCTTGGTGTTCTCCGCAACAGGATCGTCAAGGAAAAGCTTAAGTATTTTTCTCGATGTAGATAAAAATAGGGACTTTCAGAACCACTATTAATCTGAGACATGCTAAAATCCAAAATAAAGCCTAAACTACGAATTTATCATAAAGAGTTTCAGAATCAGGTAAGATAATAGAAGGAATAATAATTGAGTGTTTAGATTTATTAAAACAAATTATTTCAAACTTGGAAGCACATAGTCAGACCAAGCGATATTTAAAAAAGACGTAGCGATAGTTTATGAATAGCACTATTGAGATTAGATGGAGACTAGCAAAGGAAAATTTTTTAATAATACTAGCATGGATATATATAATACGATGTAATTCAGAGGCATATACAGAGTATAAATAGTAGAGAACCAAGAATAAAGCCCTTAGGTATCCCAAAAGTAAGAGTAGAAGAGTTAGAAGTAGTTTATTAAGGAAAACAAAATAAAAACAATTTCAGAGATAAGAAGAAAACCAAGATAGACAAGAATCAATGACATTAAAAAATGATCTAGCAGTCTCAAGAGAATAGTATGATCAACGGTATCAAAAGCAGAAGAAAAGTTAAGAGAAAGAATTAGAATAACATTACTATTGCTACTAGAGAGAAGGATATTGTTATAAATTTTCAGTAAGGATATTTCAGCGCTGTAAGCAGGTCTGAGACCAGATTGAGATACAGTTATCAATGGTTATAGTTTAAATAAAAAGATAATTTATTTCATATAAAACTAATTTTCCTATTATTTTAGAGATAAAAAAATAAGTAACCGGTCTATAAATTAGATAAAGAAGAAGGATCTGAAGATGAGTTTTTGAAGATAGGTATAATAGATTCGTTATAAAAAGGGGGGAATTTGATGGTAGAAAATGTATAATTTGGTAATGGAAATTCTGATATTTTGGCAGTAACATAAATCGAAACAAATCATTTTGTTATACTAAACAGGCACTATAGATCAATAATTTTTTGGAATGTGGCACAAACTCAATCTCCGTGCATGAAAATGTAT